GGAACCCAAAGTATTCCATAATTCCATGAATTTCCCTTCCCAACATTTCCCTTGTTTCTAAATCCCTTCCTGCCCCTCAATAATGGCAGAATTCCGGTTTTTTTCCAGCACATTTTCGGGGGGAAAAATTCCTTGGAAGTATCAAAGGGATGCAAGAGAGCACTGGAAAACTGAGAACACATTAAAGAGCATGGAAAATTTCATTAATTAATAAAATAGATTCATAAAACTAATAAAATACATTCATAAAATATTTTATTAATTAATAAAATAACGACTAAAGTTAATTAACTATCACAAAATAGCATTAAATGGCATTAAATTAATAGTATAAAATATCATTAAATAGCTTTAAACAAATATCATTAAATATCAATATACATTATTAAATATCATTAAATATCAGTAAATAGCATTAAATATAATAATAATATAATAAATATAATAATAAATATAATAATATAATATACTTAAATTAGTATCATTAAATATCATTAAATAGCACTAAATATCACAAAATATAAGTAAATATTACTAAATAGACTTAAATATCATTACAACAATATAATTAATGTTAAATATTACTAAAATCACTAAATATCACAAAATAAAATTAAATATCAAAAAATATTATTAAATATCACTAAATATAATAAAATATCACAAAACAGCATTCAATACCACAAAATATCACTACATATAATTAAAATATCAGCTCAAAAAAATAGGAGTAAAGCCTGAAATCTCCCTGGAGAGGAAAAGAAAATTATTAGTATTAGTATTAGTATTAGTATTAGTATTAGTATTATTTGTATTATTATCATCATCATCATTATCATTATCATTAACATTAATACTAATATTAATACTAATATTAATTCTAATTTTAAAATTAATATATAATAATTATTTTTAATTATATATAATTATAATTTAAAAAATTATAATTAATAATTATAGTTTAATAATTTATAATTAATAATTATAGTTTAATAATTATAATATATATATAATATCTAGTATATATAATACATATATGTAATTATATATATCATTATAGTTTTATTATACATACTAATAATATAAATTCAATATATTATATACAAAATATATTAATTTGAACAATTATAATAATTTTTAGGAAGGAATAAAACAATAATTAGGAATTCATCATGCTGCTTTTTCACTTCTCAGTCCAACTTTTAAGGGCCCTTTGATGCTGTTCTCACCGGTCCAAAAAATTGGAATAAAGCCTTAAATGTCCCTGGGCAGGAGAAGAAAATTAATTATCATTATAATAATTACTATAAGTATATTAATTAATTTTATATATATATATATGTACACACACACATATATATACATATATATGATATATATAAGATATAATTGTATCTATATATGATATATATTATATAATCTATAATATGTGATATGTAATATGTGATATATAATCTATAATTTATCATATATTATAAGTTATATATTATAATTCTCTATTTTATAATAATAATACATAATATATATTATACAAAATACATAATACATATTATATATAATACATAATACATAATATGTACTATATACTATATACTATGTACTATATACTATATTATATATTATATATATGATATATTATCTACCATACACCATATATATTATATGATATATGATATATGATATATTATATATGATATATGTTATATGATATATGATATATGTTATATGATATATGATATATGATATATATGTTATATGATATATGATATATATTATATATAATAATTATTTCAGACCTCTCCTTCCTTTTTTTAAGGGTGTTTTCCTACTGTTCTCC